GGGCTGGCCCCCCCGTTCGCCCTGCCCCCCCCCGACACAACGTCTGTGGGGACGAGGTGTCCCCCATCTGCACGGTGTGGGCCTGGGGGCCGTGCCCGCCGCCCCGCAAGAGCCCGCAGAGCCCCGGGGGTGGGCGGTCCACACCCACCGCCCCCGCTGCCTGCCCGGGCACCGCGGCACGGGCCACCGTGCCCTGGGAACCCGGGGCGAGGGCTGCGGGCCGGGACCCGTGTGCCTGTGACCGGCTGCGTGTGCACAGCCCGTGCGTGAGCTAAAAACAGTCCCAGACGCCGGGCAGGCTCGCAGGAAACTTTAAAAATCACAACCGTCGGCTAAGCGTGTTGCATGTACAGCCCTGGGAGCGAACATCATAGGCTTTTTCTTTTTTTTCTCTTGTAAATTCAGAGTTTCCACAGCGGGTTTATTTATTTCCTGCAATGAACACACACACGTACACACAGAAATATTTGTGAGAATTCAGCGCCATGGAACCACGGCTCCGAAGAACCTCCGTTACTCACCTCCCTTCGTTTCCCCGGCTGCACGAAGCTGTTCCATGTTTTATTTTGCGCTAAAAATTACACACAGATCCCTCATAGCTCTTACATCTCCAGTAACTCCCCCTTCCCTAAAAGCTTCTACATCTCTCTGAATTTTTGTAACGTTAACGTTAATAGTGTTTCCATTTCATACAGCGAGGGATGGATGAGGAAAGTTGTATTTGCAAAGGAAGAAAATATATACCTGAAACCTAATTCATTATTTCAGAAAATGTTTAGGATAAAATAAACAAAATCATAGAGAGTATTTCGAGGCCGAAGTGAACGGCTGTGATTGTTTCCCAGGCCATCGCGAGGTGATGTCACAGATCCAATCGAAACGCTGTCGGCTTCTTCCTTATCAATATCTGTATACAATTTACAACTTAATGAAAAATATTTCATCCCCACGCATTTAGCGATTAGTTACCAAAGTAAACGTCACAGCGAATTTTAGTTACTCCCCCGAGTTTGTAGGAAATTACAGCATCAATTTTTTCCTTCAAGAAAGGAGCATAAAGCCAATCCCGAACAACTGGGAGAGCCCCGAGACGCACCGGCTGCCGCCGGGGTCCATTTCTAACCTTACGAAAAGAGTGGCCGTAGAATGGCACACAGCTCCCTCCAGTCCTACACCCATCTCACAGGGGAAGCTCCGGAGAGAGATCATTTCGGTGCGCTAATCAATTACTGCTTGAGCAGTCAAGTACCATATATTTAACAGAATAATCGTTACCGCCCTTAAGTCTTTATTTGATCAGCAGATACTCGGAGCGGACTTAAAACGCAACTTTGCTTGTTTGAATTGCGTTGCGTGTGTGTGCTTTTGAAATCCGAGATAATGACACCATGAAACGGCCGTGATCTCCCTCCTGTCGCCAACAAACACCGCGCGGGCAGAGGGGCCAGCCCGGACGGGGCGGCCCGGCCCGGGGCAGCGACCGCAACACGCTGCAGCGGAACGTACAGAGGGGGTTTAAAATGTTTATTATTATTTTCCTTTAAAAAAAAATTAAATAAAACAAGAATTAAAATGATTTCTTTTCAATGGCGTGTGCGTGTTCTACCTCCTTCCGCGCCCTCCCGTCCCCGCGCGGCTCTCCCGCGCCTCCCGCGCGGTGACAGCTTGTGGCACCCGGGTCCCCTCGCACGGGGGAGCGTGTCAAAGGTGACGCTCGAAGGCTCCCAAAGCCAACAGCTGCCGAGGGGATTAACTTTTCCAGACTTTCCCCTGTCGAGCTTCTTGGAAACTTGCTTAGTGACAAAAACATATACATCTGTCGGGGGCAGGCAGAGAAAAGAGGGCTGCACCGGCCGGGGCAGGCGGGGGAGGGCCTGGCTTTCAGGGGAAGCTGC